AGTTGCGTACAAAGCATACAAATTTGCACTGAGGAAATCTGATTTCGAAGACCGCCGTAAGTCAGGGGTTTACCCAATGAACCTAGTTGCGTAAGTCCAAGATCCAAATTCACGCAACAGATACAACGTGACCATGCCAGCATTGTACAATGAGTTTCAAGAAGAGGAAGTGAAGGAGTTGCACAGTAAATGTCTTACGGTGAAAGGCTGCACCAACATATTATGGTGGAGATTTTCTCCATAATACCAACGAAATTCATCAAAATATCTAGAAGGTACAGTGAATTCTCAATGGTATGTTACAAAGTCAGCTGCACCGCACTGAGAATGAATTGGTCACCACCATCACCCTTTAAATGGGTGATGCAACTTCGTTACCCAAATTTTGGTGACGAAAAATTCATCACCCGAAATTTGGAAACAGGCGTTTGGTCGCCCAAATTTGGGTAACGCCGTCGGCGACGCCGTGAGGTTCCCGATGACGTCCTTCCGGGGCCACCACGATGGCCGGAGGCCTAAACGCCCATCGTGGTGGCCCCGGAAGAGCGTCATCGGGGACCTCAAGGCGTCGCTGACGACGTTACCCAAATTTGGGCGACGATTTTATGACTGCCCAAAATTTGGTCACCGCGGGCTCGTCACCCAAATTTGGGCAACGGTGCGTGCGTTACCCAAAAAAAGGGCGATGGTGGTGACTCTTTCATTCTCAGTGCCACCATAATATGGAACATTTTCACCATAATATGGAGAATCTTCACCGTAGAACATTTAGAGTGTGAATGATTCGATTGTTGCTAAAAAGATACCATTCATTGTCTTCTACGGTAAAGACAATAAACGCAACGACTGTGTGTTGCTCGAGTCCCACGAGAGTAAGTAACTTAAAAAGCGTTAAAAACGAAAGTTGAGGAAGTTCGGAATTTGCGGTCGTCCCAGTCGGCGCAGCCAAATTGGCGCTCAAAGTTTTGACTTTTACCAAAAAGTCGCAAAACACACTAAGGCCCATTGCTCCGGACTGGGTCGACTTACGACCTTCAAAATTTGTGGGCATCTTTCAGGGGTACATGTGGTACAATTTTGGTCCAGATCAGTGACACCGAAAAAAATCTTGTGCTCCTTAGATGTGGAATCACTCATGAAGGTAAAAGTTCTTCATTGACAGTTAATGAATTGGAGAGACTATTTCATTTTGGTGAAGGTTTTACTGATAATGGTACTCTGTCAATTACTGCCAGGAAGAAACTTGTTGGCAAGTTATGGGTTATTCCCGTTGTGTCTCATTTATTGAAGCCTCTAGTGAAATTGTATTCTGTGAAACAATAAAATCAACTCTTGATAGGATACAATTTTACCAGGGCTTTCCTTATCTCTTTGCTCTTGTTTCTTTGACAATAGTGTGATACAAGTATGAGGTGTTTAAGTTGATATTTTGCTAGAGAGCTCCTCCCCCAAGACTAAGTAACAAGTTTAATTAATTGGCTGAGCGATAGCGAAGCCCGGTACTCGGGTGGGGTTGGGACGTTTTTTCTGTCTGTGTGCCTGAGTGTCCGCACTACTCCTCCTGAACGGCTCGGCCGATCTGGCTGAGATTTTGCAGGGTCATTCATCCTCTGCATCCCTGTCATCTTTCTCATTTTCATCCGATTCACCCTCAGCTTTATATTCTTCTTTCACCTGAAGGACTCCTGCCTCTGTGGACACGGTGCGGGCCCAGGATGATGACATCGTCGACATCGATGCAGAGTTGAACGAGTACAACGAAGTTCTGCTCAAAAATGGAAAGCACTATGTCAAGTTCAAACTTGATCCGGGATCAGAAGTAAACATCCTGCCCTGCAACGTGAACTGTGAAATCAACAAAGAATTCATACCCTTCGAGTGACAAAAAGATGTCTTTAGTAGGCTTTGGCAAATTTGTGAGCACCAGAAGGTACTTAAGACTTAAAAGTAGAAACCAAGTATGGAAAGTCCTTGTTGTGTGAATTCGTTGTGACAAAGTTCGATGAAAAACCTATTACTGGGGATCAAAGGGTGAGCTAAGCTTACTCTAGTAAAACGTGTGGAGCTCAACCCCCGCCACGTGGTTGACGGCGTGGTTTCTGATCCCGCGGTCCTAGAGACCAAGGAAGCCACTACACCAACAGAAGTTCAACTTCTACCCTACCAGGGACGACAGGCTCACCAACAATCGTTGCTCTTAGTAAGAAAAACAAGATCTAATTTTAATGGGAATCAGTTGTGCTGAATTTTTATACACAGTTACCATTGCTTTCAGATCAACCATCAATCTGATCAAAATATATTTTTGGCAAATAAGTTTTACGTCTGCATTGACCAACAAGTAATAAGGGAAGCTTACAGCAGCGATGAAGCACTGCAGGGAATAATACACGTTGCTTTCATTGGCTGAGCGATAGCGAAGCCCGTTACACTGTTAAACAAGCTAGGGCCCGCCCTTCCGTTGTTACTGGGGATCAAAGGGTGAGCTAAGCTTACTCTAGTAAAACGTGTGGAGCTCAACCCCCGCCACGTGGTTGACGGCGTGGTTTCTGATCCCGCGGTCCTAGAGACCAAGGAAGCCACTACACCAACAGAAGTTCAACTTCTACCCTACCAGGGACGACAGGCTCACCAACAATCGTTGCTCTTAGTAAGAAAAACAAGATCTAATTTTAATGGGAATCAGTTGTGCTGAATTTTTATACACAGTTACCATTGCTTTCAGATCAACCATCAATCTGATCAAAATATATTTTTGGCAAATAAGTTTTACGTCTGCATTGACCAACAAGTAATAAGGGAAGCTTACAGCAGCGATGAAGCACTGCAGGGAATAATACACGTTGCTTTCATTGGCTGAGCGATAGCGAAGCCCGTTACACTGTTAAACAAGCTAGGGCCCGCCCTTCCGTTGTTACTGGGGATCAAAGGGGGAGCTAAGCTTACTCTAGTAAAACGTGTGGAGCTCAACCCCCGCCACGTGGTTGACGGCGTGGTTTCTGATCCCGCGGTCCTAGAGACCAAGGAAGCCACTACACCAACAGAAGTTCAACTTCTACCCTACCAGGGACGACAGGCTCACCAACAATCGTTGCTCTTAGTAAGAAAAACAAGATCTAATTTTAATGGGAATCAGTTGTGCTGAATTTTTATACACAGTTACCATTGCTTTCAGATCAACCATCAATCTGATCAAAATATATTTTTGGCAAATAAGTTTTACGTCTGCATTGACCAACAAGTAATAAGGGAAGCTTACAGCAGCGATGAAGCACTGCAGGGAATAATACACGTTGCTTTCATTGGCTGAGCGATAGCGAAGCCCGTTACACTGTTAAACAAGCTAGGGCCCGCCCTTCCGTCGAACCGAGTTGCCAGCTCCGCTTCGCTGCGCCGGCAACTCGGTTCGACAGGGGGCCGGCCCAGCTTGGCCTGCCGGCGGCCTTTCCTCGGGCCTTCGGCCCTCGCGTCAGACCCAACTTGGCCACCAGTCAAAGGCCCGGGCCTTCGGCCCGCTCGCATCACACACACCGTGAGCGGGTGTCTGTGTGTTGTTGTCGTTGTTGGCGTCTGTGTACAAGGAAGGAGTTGAGCTAGAGTAACCAGATTTGGAGGGTACTTCAGGAGTACCGTCCAAACAAATAATCCGGTGGTGCAAATCCCGTCCGGGTCGCACAAGGGCTGCTGCAGGTGCATCATGGTTTACATGAGCGGGAGGGGGATTTCCGCCATTATTGGGCTAGCAGGGCACATAGGCGTAACAAATGCGTTTATTAATGTAAGTGGAGGGAGCAGAGGAAAATCTGAGTATGGCCCCTCTTTCGCTTCAAGTACAGGGTCCTTGAACAATCGAAGCGGATGTGATCGGTGCTCAGGTATAGTTTTGAAGGGCGTCTGAAATATAGGGTACACCGAAATTTAGGCAAACAGGCAAATCTTTTATTTTGAGTTCTAGGAAGTTTCTGTCTGAGGCTCCCCAGGTATGAATCACCATCGGAGTACCGTTGGGGCCTTGAAGCGTGACCCCTTTACAATGTAAACATGTGGCATAAGTTGCTTTTACTTTGTCCAGTGATAGTTAGGGACGGATTTCTTGCGTAACAGGCATTTGGGGTGATTCGTAACAGACCCGTATAAAACAAGAATTTCAGTAGTTTTTGCTGTTAAATGCTTGAATTATTTCTCGAATCATCTGCTGTTTTATTCCAATACATTAACACAGCTCGAAATGCATTTTAAAGCGAGTTATTCTATGATCTCCTCTAAAATTGAAAAAAGTGAGGTTAGGATTGACATAGCCTATCAGTTAATGCTGAGGCGGTCAACGGCAGCTTGTAATGTAGATTTTTAGACGTCTACAGGACACCCGAAGAACAACTGGTGGAGGGGATAACATTCCTGACGATGTTTCATTTAATGTGTAGGATGTTATGAAAAGCCCCATAGCTGTTACAAATCACCCCATGCTGGGGCGATTCGTAACAGCATGCAAGGGTTTGGAAAACGTCTTAGATTTCAAAGATTACGGACTCCAGATTGATTCAATGCAGCTGCACAGTCTAGATGAAGGGCCAGACTGCTCAACTGGCACAAGTTTGACACCGATATGCTCAATGTTCTTAATATTGTATAGAGAATTCCGAAATCTGTTACAAGTCGCCCCATACTCCCTTACGCAGAACGCTTCAGAGCCGAGCTTAAGGTGAGTTTTTGACAGTGCACATTCCGTGCCGGAGAAACGAACATGCTGCATGTCGCGTGTGACATCGTGTGTTTCCCGACGCACACACGGTAAACCGTCGCTAGGCGGTTTCGCCTAGCCATAATTGTTACATGACTGGTAAGTCACAGTAGCACATTGGCGCCTAGTGGATGTCCAACTCGACTAGGCGGTTGGAAAACCGCCTAGTCGCCAGTCTGAATTTTTCATACCGCCCGGCCGTCCTCCCGCGCGCTGGTCGGAGCTGGCGTTTCTGCCAGCAGCCTCTACCACATTTCGCCTAGTCGGGCAGGCAATGATGTGCAGTCGGGCGGGCCGTCCCCCGGCAAGCCGGGTGGGCAGTCCTGTTCACGTGACCAGGCTGGCTGAGTTGGTACATTGGCTCAGGATACAAAAGAGGAAGTAAACAGGAAATTAAAAAAATTAGGTTTATTGACATCCAAATAATTTTAACACTTAAATTTTGTCCCTCTATTTTTAAATGACTCCTCTTCATCGGAAGCCTAGAACAAGGAAAATAAATTTACAATCGAACACCAAAAGCAGAAGTCAGCTCAATTTATATAAAATGAGAGCAACTTGTACTTACATATTGCTAAAATAGACCACAAAATAAGATGGAAAGTTGTAGGTTGTCTGGGCCAATTTGATTCCATGAAAGTTGGTAGCTGCTGCGGCAAGTGAAAACAGTAAACTGGTGTTCAGTATCCTTATCAAAGGCCAAGTTTCCTGACTTCTCTTGATCGGAAGTCTAGAATAAGAAAAATAAATTACACTCAAACACAAAAGACAAAAGTCAGCACAATTTTTATAAAATGAAAGAAACTTGTACTTACATTTTGCTTGAATAGCCCATAAAATAAGAAAATGGATTGTTGTAGGTTGTCTGGGCAAATTTGAATCCAAGAAAATATTATTTCTATGTTTGATTGCCGCTGCGGCAAGAGAAAACAATGAACTGGTGTTCAGTATCCTAATCGAAGGCCAAGTTTCGTGACTTCTCTTCATCAGAAGCCTAGAACAAGGAAAATAAATTTACAGTCAAACACCAAAGACAAAAGTCAGCTCAATTTTTATACAACGAGAGCAACTTGTACTTACATGTTGTTAATATAGCCCACAAAATAAGAAGATGGAAAGTTGTAGGTTCTCTGGGCCAATTTGATTCCATGAAACAATAATTTCATTGTTTGGTAGCTGCTACGGCAAGTGATAACATTAAACTGGTGTTCAGTATCCTTATCGAAGGCCAAGTTTCATGACTTCTGTTCATCGAAAGCCTAGAACAAGAAAAATAAACTACAATCAAACATCAAAGACAAAAGTCAGCTCAATTTATATAAATGAGAGTAAAGTTAATAACATATTGCTAACAAGATAAGATAGGAAGCCTTCTGCCCGCTCATGTATTTAAAAACATATTTGAGGACAAACTACATTATCCTGGCTAGAGTAAAGGTTAGTTTCCTGTTTTCAGAATGTTTACTTTTCAGGTTAGTTGCAAACTTATTTATCAAGGTAAACCATTTTCTAAAACCAAAGCAAAGGCTCTCGGATTAAAAATTCAGATTGTGGCAAATTGAAGGGTAATATTAAGCAAAATAGGAAGAAACAGGACCGAGGCCAAAGTACGCTTCTATACATTTCACAAGATTTTTCGCCTTTCAAGGTTTTATTTTTATAAAACGAATACTACGAGTTTATCACTTACCTGCCCATCCTTTGTGCTCTCAAGCCTTGCGAAGTAGGCCACCTATGGCCAGTAAGTTGTTCACTTCAAATAGTTTTTCGATGAGACCGTGAATACATGACGCGCGCGCTTCAGGGAGAGAGACGCTGGAGCAGGCTGGAGCGGGGAGGAATCCGTAGTTGGGGAGCGTCCCGCCAGAGGGTGACGGCGCGGCGGGGCGCTCTAGGCGAAATCGCCTACTGGAGTTACCACAGTCGCCTACAGCCGCCCACTGGCAGCAGTTACGAGGTCCCGTGAAGATAAGCGGTTCTTCTTAAAAATGTGGTAGACCTAGCAAAAGTGATACAAAATTCCGCCTACTCGACCTGACACAATGTGACAGTGCCGGCACATTCGCTAGCCGGGCTTGGCGTCTTACAAAACGCCTAGCGACGGTTTACCGTGCAGTGTAATGAAAGATCGAAAAGTGGGAAAAAAATATTTTATTGTTCTAACTGACTAAACCTAATGCAGAAAGACGCATTCTGGTGGGAAAAGTGCCACAGGACCATCCAAGCGTCACAGAGACGCCATATTTGAGAAAAAAGGGGTAAAAACGCCGTATTTTCAGTTCTTGACACCCATGGCTTCTGCTGTTTAGCGAATCCGCAACTTTTCTCGACGCCAACTAGTTAAGGGGTACTAGGACAAGACTTGAGAACGTTTCGAGCATTGAACTAGGTGGGGAACTCGAGATATTTCGCCTCAAAGTTTACAAATATCAGAAAAATCTACCAAAAATGCCGTTTTTGAACATTTTTGAAGCCCTGGCTTCGGCTCAATGGTGAATCCGCAACTTTTCTCGACGCCAGCTAGTTGAGGGGTACTAGAACAACACTTTAGATCATTTGGAGCATTGATCTAGGTGGGGAACTCGAGATATTTCGCCTCAAAGTTTACAAATTTCCTAAAAATCTTTCAAAACTGCCATTTTTTGACTTTTTTGAAGCCCTGGCTTCGGCTCTATGGCGAATCCGCACCTTTTCTCTACGGCAAATAGTAAAGGGGTACTAGGACAACACTTGATAACATTCAGAGCATTGAGCTAAGTGGGGAACTCGAGATATTACGCCTCAAAGTTAAATTTTTTCTAAAAACCTGCTATTTTCTGATCTTTTTGTAGCCCTGGCTTCGGCTCTAAGGTGAATCCGCAACTTTTCTCGACGCTCACTAGTTAAGGGCTACTACGACAAGACTCCAAATCATTTGGAGCATTGAGCTAGGTGGGGAACTCGAGATATTTCGCCTAGAGCCGTAGCCAAGCCTACAAAAAGGTCAGGCACTGGCATTTTTGGTAGATATTTTTAATATACTGGTTAACTTTGAGGCGAAATCTCTTGAGTTCCCCACCTAGCACAATGCTCCAAATGATCTCAAGTGTTGTTCTAGTACCCTTAAACAAGTTGGCGTCGAGAAAAGTAGCGGATTCGCCATAGGGCCGAAGCCAGGGCATCGAAAAGGTCAAAAAATGGCATTTTTGGTAGGTTTTTAAAACATTTTTAAACTTTGAGGCGAAATATCCTGAGTTCCCCACCTAAATCAATGCTCAAAATGATCTGAAGTGTTCTTCTAGTACCCCTCAACTAGTTGGCGTCGAGAAAAGTTGCGGATTCGCCGTAGAGCCAAAGCCAGGGCTTCAAAAAGGTCAGAAAATGGCATTTTTGGTATGTTTTTTGAAACTTTTTAAACTTTGAGGCAAAGTATCTCGAGTTCCCCACCTCGTTCAATGCTCAAAATGATCTGAAGTGTTGTTCTAGTACCCCTTAACTAGTTGGCGTCGAGAAAAGTTGCGGATTCGCCATAGAGCCGAAGCCAGGGCTTCAAAAATGTTCGAAAATGGCATTTTTGGTAGATTTTTCTGATATTTGTAAGCTTTGAGGCGAAATACCTCGAGTTCCCCACCTAGCTCAATGCTCCAAACGTTATCAAGTGTTGTCCTAGTACCCCCTTACTGGTTGGCGTCGAGAAAAGTTGCGGATTCGCCACAGAACCGAAGCCAAGCTTTCAAAACGGTCAGAAAATTGCATTTTTGGTAGATTTTTGGGACATTTGTAAACTTTGAGGCGAAATATCTCGAGTTCCCCACCTAGCTCAATGCTCCAAATGATCTCAAGTCTTGTCCTAGCAGCCCTTAACCAGTGAGCGTCGAGAAAAGTTGCGGATTCACTATAGAGCCGAAGCCAGGGCTTCAAAAAGGTCAAAAAATGACATTTTAAGTAGGTTTTTAGAAAATTTGTAAACTTTGAGGCGAAATATCTCGAGTTCCCCACCTAGCTCAATGCTCTTAATGTTCCCAAGTCCTGTCCTAGTACCCCTTCACTAGTTGGCGTCGAGAAAAGTTGCGGATTCACCATAGAGCCGAAGCCAGGGCTTCAAAAAAGTCAAAAAATGGCAGTTTTGAAAGATTTTTAGGAAATTTGTAAACTTTGAGGCGAAATATCTCGAGTTCCCCACCTAGATCAATGCTCTTAATGCTATTAAGTGTTGTCCTAGTACCCCTTTACTAGTTGGCGTGGAGAAAAGTTGCGGATTCACCATAGAGCCGAAGCCAAGCCTTTGAAAGTGTCAGTAAATGGCATTTTTGGTAGATTTTTCAAATATTTGTTAACTTTGGTGCGAAATATCTCGAGTTCCCCACCTAGTTCACCGCTCCAAATGTTATCAAGTTTTGTCCTAGTACCCCTTAACTAGTTGGCGTCGAGAAAAGTTGCGGATTCGCTAAACAGCAGAAGCCATGGGTGTCAAGAACTGAAAATACGGCGTTTTTACCCCTTTTTTTCTCAAATATGGCGTCTCTGTGACGCTTGGATGGTCCTGTGGCACTTTTCCCACCAGAATGCGTCTTTCTGCATTAGGTTAAGTCAGTTAGAACAATAAAATATTTTTTTCCCACTTTTCGATCTTTTATTACACTGTGCGACGCAGCCGACGCAGTGCTGAATTCAAAAATGATGCAGGATCCCAAAGATATCCAGCTGAAGAATGTAAATCTTACTAAATTTCCACTCATTGTACACTGATAAACATTTACACATAATTCAAATCTGTCATTAGTAAAAACTTCACAGCAGAAAAGACAGAATAAATAGATTTTCCGCAGTTGGCAACAATTTTCTCGGCGTCTGCGCCCTTTCGAAAATCGCGAGGCTGAAAAAACGAGTAGTCGCGCATTGAAACTGCCCCTCCATTGTTGCTGAGGTTGGATTGTTTGGCTTGCTTTTAAAGGCTGCGGTTCTCGTCTCATGTTTTCGTCAATTCTATAACCAGCACGACGGTTGGTTTGACAAACTTTTTAAACTCGGGAGGGGTGCTTTCGGAACGCGGATGACTTTCGGTTGACGAACATGAGCGAGCACTGTAAATCGCGAGATCGCGAGATGGACTGAGATGGTCATAGTGTTAACTGATTCACTTTTGGGAATGTAAAAATATCGGTAGGATTCAAAGTTACGTAAATAACGGTAAAATTAACGTAATTAACGTTTAAATGACAGATTTCAAAATGATTTCCACAACCGGAACACCGTGCAATGCGTAAGCATTGGAATTTTTTTGGATTTGTCCAGGATCTAAATTAAGCTTGGCCCTTTCGCTGTGTTGCAGATGTCCAAAGTACCCTGGACGCCCCACGGGCCTGCCGCCCTAGAAAGGGTGATGGAGGCCCGGCTTAAGCAGTGTCCAAATGAATGGGATGCGGAGGCCGTGGATAAAATTTGCTCCACGGCCAAGCATGATTCCTTCCGGGCGACTGCGGAGGCCGGGTCCGCGAAGTCACGCGTTGGGTCTATACAAAAGGCTTTTCGAAACCGCTACAAGGGGCGGTTTACAGCCGAACTTCAGAGGTGAGTTTTTGACACTGCACATTCCGTACCGGAGAAACGAACATGCTGCATGTTGCGTGTGACATCGTGTGTTTCCCGACGCAGCCACGGCGCTTTAAGGGCCCGCTAAAGGCTGGGCGGAGGGCGCGTTTGGAGCCGGCCGGAGGCCCGCGAGGCCTCCGCGCGGCGATACATCTATCTCGATTGCGCCCAAACGCGTTGTGGGATCGAGTTGAAAATTTGCAGGGGCATTCGAGATGAACCAGCCTCGACGCCAGCCTGTTCAAAAAAATTCCAAAATTTTTAGTTTGGCTGAAATTAACCGAAAACTGCCCCGGGTCTTCCAGCCAAAATACGGGAAAAAGCGTTCAACAGTGTTGTAGCCACTAGCTCCAATAAGAAGTTCCTGTAACCCGGTTTCAATACCTTGAACGGTGTGGCCGGAAACTGTTAAACGCCGAACGAAAATCGAGACTTAGCCGCTGGAGGCGCGCCGAGCCTAGGCCGACTAGGCGAATCAAAGGACCGGCCCCGAGGCCCCCGCCGCCCCTCCCGCACCCCGCCGGCCCTGCGCTGCACCGACGGGCTCCCTTTGTCTGCGCCCGGCCGTCTGGCCCGGCGCCTGCCTGCCCGTCGGGGCGCGTCCGCACCACGTGTTTTTGCATTGTCTCTGTCGCACTGGTAGCGGCAGACCTGAGTGACAGAGAAGGCACAGCGGCTGCAATGCGGACGCTACTCAGAGAGCTCCGGCGAGGAGGCCTCGATGCGGTCCCAGCCGAACCCGAGTCAGCCGCCTCTACGGGTTCTAAGGGCCAAAGAACGGCTCGAAAAGTCACCATTTTCAAAATCACATTTAAAGTGCGTTTCAGAACGCGCTGATCGTTTCTATACCTACTAAAATTTTCCGATGCGTTGCCGCCAAAATTGCCGTAGAAAGGTCCCGTTTTCACCCAAATTCCTAGTTTTTGGCCCGTGGGGCAAACCAGGGCCATTCAGCAGCGCCCAAAATGGACCATCGACGATTTGGCCCATTTTTGGCTCAAATGTTACCTACCCATAGGTAAACATCGGGGTAAAATTTCAGCCACCTAGGTGTCGTTTCATAGGAGTTATGGGCAATCATAGTTTTTCACTTTTTTTCTTAAGTGGTTTTTGACCAAATTTCTACATTTTCCAAAAATCCCTCTCAAGTCCACAGTTTTGCCCCTAGTTGGCTGAAAAATCGTTCCCCAGCGTAAAATTGCACGAGGAATTCGATTTCAG